AGCCCCCCCCCCCAACCAACCCCCAAACCTCTAATTGAAGCTAGTAGAAAGGAGTAGGATTAACCTGAAATCCATGCAAGGCAGATCAGAATTATGATCAGTGAGTAACAAAGAAAGAATCAGGTGGAAAAACGTAAGGGGAGGTGAGGGGTTTATACTCAACCGGTGTACAGTGTGAGATGGTTTTATCTAGAAAGCAACGACAGAGATATCCATGTAATTGCATACCCATGTACTACAACACAGAGAGCTTACTTGCCCCAGGTAACAAGTAAAATATTATCATTTTTATTTGCAGGTTTTCACAATCTCAATCCCAAATTTACATCTAAGTATTTATTTGGCAGCAACCTACTCTCACAGGAGCAGCATATCTGGTTTACAGAAAGCACCTTTCAGCTATTCCAGAAAAATAAAGTAAACTTCTAGATTTAGGTCACCTTGACACAAATGAAATTGAAACTACCTCTATCCCTCAATTCTTAACTTTGAAAAGATGTCTGAACCTCCTCATGGAACTTGCAATATGAGACAAAAGAACAGGGGTGGGGGGGTAGGGGGTGTCACTCACCTACAAATTCTGGAGTTCCAAAAATGTTTTTAAATTCAACTCCATCTTCTATTTTGTGAGCCAGGCCAAAGTCAATGAGTTTGATGTGTGGAATAGAGAAATTCTTGTCTAGAAGCATAATGTTTTCAGGCTAAAAAGAACAAGAGATAGATCTCTGTTACTGTAATATTAATATCTTGGGAAAGTAACAGAGTTCTCAAGTGCTTTTTTTTCTTCACACATACGAAGCTGTAGAACAAGAAACATATACCTGTGCCTAACCGCTTACAATTCATTCTTTTGAGGAAGGGATGACAATTGTGAAATTTGACATCATTGAATGGACCAGAACTTCATAAAAGCAAAGCAAATCTAATAAGAGTAATACTTCCATTCCTTTAAATTTATCTAATGCAAATTCTGCTTTTCTCTATCTTCCTGTTAGCACTCCTAACCTTATTTTCTTAATGATGGCTATTGCCAGGATGAAAACAAGATTGCCCTTGTTTTCACAATGAGACAGAAGTTTTTCATGCACCTGTATGTAGTTCTCTTATATGACAATATATGCCACTAGGTTATTGGCCCAGCAGCATTGTGATATTACACAAAATGGAAGCTCTTGGCCCTCTAAAAACAGAAAATATATCCCTGGCCCGCAGGGCCTCCTGGGAAGATGCCACACACCCTGACCTCATGGATTTGCCTCAGTTACAAAGACTGGTGCACACATAACAGCAGCTAGCAGGTAGCTAAAGCAGTGCAGATACCTGGTGCAGAGACAGAGTGCCATTGCTTGATCCTGAGGGAGAGCTGCACCACTGAGTAATTTGACTGACAGCAATTTTACTGATCCGTTCTTGGAATTTACACTGGGAAACCTCACTATTTCTGCCCAACTGTCCCTACACTGTATTGTAACCCACCGAAAAACTTCTTTAATTTATTGTCATAGTCATTGGACCAAGAATATTTCAGCCTCAGGCTAACAAGTCTGGCTTTCTTCCATGGATCTAGGGCATAAGTGTACATTTCTGATTTCTATCTTGCATTTCTTGTAACATCTTCATTGACCACCTGACATTACTGGTATTAAATACCAAAATTAATAGCTAGACATCAGTATAGAAAAAGTTGCACCTATATAAAGGCCTATAGCAAAGATGGGGACAATCTTCTTAGCAAGGCCTGCTGTGACAGTGCAAGGGGTAATGGTTTTAAACTAAAGGAGGCTAGATTTAGACTGGATATAAGGAAGAAATTTTTTACAATGAGAGTGGTGAAACACTGGAATGGGTTACCCAGAGAGGTAGGGGAGGCCCTATCCCTGGAAACATTCAAGGCCAGGTTGGACGGGGCTCTGAGCAATCTGATCTGGTTGAAGATGCTGCAGGACTAGATAACCTCTAAAGGCCCCTTCCAACCCAAAGCAGTCTATGATTCTATAATATTATATTCAATAATTTCATGCTACTGGATGCTACACTGTTTTCTAATACACAGAGAAAACTTTCACTCTTTGGCTTCTGGATTCATGTAGTAATTTCAAAAATCAAGTGTACATCCTTTGTATGTTCACGCATCTCCCACACTTTTTCCCGTGAAGATTTGGACGGTAGTTTGCTAACCCGTTTCTTAGATTAGGTGTGATTTGCAATCTTTGTAACAACTACAGATATGCCATTAACACTGACTCAAGACGAAGCAATTTCAGACAGAAACACTATTAGACGTGCATTTAGCACAAGAAATCAGTATATATATCCTGAGAATCTGGGAGGAGTATATCTATAGCACACACACAATTAGTAATAAACTAACCTGGATTTAAAGTTAGGACATGGAACATGTAATCTAGCAGCAGAGTTTTTTCCTTTTTCCTTCATTTTAAAACAGTTCCCTCCTCTGGTTTAGTCTACTTTCTCCTAGGGGATAAGTGCCTTTTTGAATGTATTTCTGGAAGCAGCGATGTTTGAGGCAACCAGTTCTGCAGCTGTGAGTCTGCTACCGAGAAAGCGCTTTCTTCTAGTCTCAAGAGTTTTATTCTCAAGGACACCAGACTCCTAGCTTCAGAGAATCATGTTCACCTAGGTAGACCACAAGCAAAAGGAGAGAGAGACGGTCTCTTCTGTATTGTCCAGGCCAGTTGTCAAGGACCAAAGCTATAGATGTCACCTGATATGGTAGGAAGAGAGCTCTGTGTGATGTGCTTTCAAGGCACTAAGCAGCTAAGAAAGCAAGAATTCCTTCTGTTAACCAAATTGCACTGGATGACACATACTTATCATGCAGTTCTCAACACAGTGGGGAGTGGAAGCAACAACAGCTGTTTGTAGCTGGATCTGGCCGTCCTCTTCCCAAAAATGCATTTCTTCTGTACATCATTGGTTTTTGTTTGGTTTTTTTTTTTTTTTTTTAAACAGCATACTTTGGATAATAACACAAATGCAAACAGCTGAAGGATGAAGACTCAAAATTTCTTTTTCTCAGTCAGTAAGTACATAAATAAGCTCATCCAAAAATTACCACTTTACCACCAAGGCCTGATAAAGGATGTTGTCTTCCTTTGAGCACTCAACTGTGAAGTGTACTTAAAACGCTCTTAAGTATTATTTTAGGCACGTTATCAAATACATATATCTAACAAATCGTAAAAGGTACAATCTGTCATTAAAAAACAGCAATAAGTCTAAATCAACATCTTTACCTTTAAATCGAAGTGAGCAATTTTCTTCGAGTGAAGGTAATTCACACCATCCAAAATCTGCTTGATGAATCTGGTTGCTTCCTCTTCACTCAAAGACTCCTTCTGTGCCAGGAAATCAAAAAGTTCTCCTCCAGAAACCCTGCAGAACACATCGGAAAACATCCTGTTATCTACCACACTGCAAGACATAAAATAAACATAAGCACAGAAAAATAAAGTAGCAAAATACCTCCATACACTTAGAAAAAGGCCACTCTTGCAGACAATCTAGAGTTTTGTGTTCTGGTCCCACGTGTGCCAAAATTTTGTTTCGGCTTCAGCTCTCTCCCCTGTAAATTAAGTACTAGCTTTCCCTAATTCACTGATGCTGCAAGGTTTGATTCATCAAGGATCATAAAGGACCAAAAACAGGTACATTTTTTTCAATGAATCTACAGTTGTGTACATATTTCAATAGGTAGATTTTGAAGTTAACCACTTCAACTACTATTTTTCAACATTTTGGATGAGGCAGAGGAAATAGAACAAGTTGTAATAGTCAACAGCTGTTAAGGAATTACTTATCAGTTGCCATCAGAAGCCTGAGGCAATAAGATCTGCTAACAGAATCTCTCTTCTTTACAGAACAGTCATTATATTGTTCTAATACAGATTCTTGTCTGACATAACTGACAGAAAAGCATTTATTTTGTGCTGCATTTTTAAGAAGAAAGCAGATTGTAGCAGCTTGGAAGGTACCTCTAGTTGCTCTCCCAAATCAAGGAAGTGCTATTAGTTGCTATGAGTTTTCACATCAAAATTTAAATACATTCCCTGCATATTTAGTACGTAAGACTTCTGTTTTCATTTTTGTGCCTTGTATTGAGAGCTCCAGTGCTATTTTTCTATACAGTATGATGTAGATATTGAATTGGGGGGTTATTTGCAGTTGTTATTGATAATTATGCTTACATTTATTGTTTCCAGTTCACACAGTCATTGATATTATTGATTTATTCTCATTCAAATTTGCTGTTGGGGGCACCCACAAAGCAGTTGTTGCCCTTGGGCTCAGGTGTAATACCCATCTGTGCTCACCATTCAGGGTGCAAGCACAAGACTTGAAAAATCCAACAGCCATTTTGGAAAACAAGCTTTTGGCCCTGTTGTCTGGTGAAATACCTGTGAAAGAACTGGCAGGTTCAGATGCTTTGAGCTAACTAAGTGCTGTGACTCACAGACAAGTTAGATCACGCTGTGCACTGCAGACATCTTTTGTGCAATCATTCCTCTGACCCCAGGCTCCTAGACAACACTGGTGGTGACAAGATGGTGATTCCTTACTCTGCCTCTATGGGAGTAAACTACTGTGAACAGCTACTATTGCTAACAGCTACAAAAACTGCAAAGAGAAGTCAACTGCAAACAAGAAAAACGTGTCAAAAGCCACAAAGACATTGGACTTATTTCTTAGCTTCTGCTGTTGCTGTGGGTGACAGCGTACCTTGCTGTTCCAAAGGCAGAGATTTACACAGGGCCTATTTACTTGAGCATTGATTACTGGATCTTTTCTTTTTTTTTTTGCAGCTCCCGCATAGTCAGAACCTTTCTGAGCAACATGAGGCAAGACTCTTCACTTGGGCAGAAGTCACCTCACTTCACCTAGGCAGAAGTCACTTGATGCTTTAATTGTTACACCTAAATGGCTGGCAAACAAAAATAAACTTATATGACCCAGGAATATGTTGCAACTGTTGTCTCTGGCTGCCGCCTTCTCCTTCCAATAAATCTCAGTTACTCAGCCTGTGAGACTCTTATTTGGTCTCTTATTTTCTTTTTAGGTGACACATACCAAGGGTCTCAAGCACCACCATCACCTTTGCTGGACAGGTTTTGTTTTACGCTGTGCATTTCGGGAGCCAGGGAACACTGTCTCCTTTCCTTACTGTAGTGGGTATTAGGGTGTCCTGGTTCGTTAATTTAAAAATTATTACAGCTGAGTGTGACAAGCCAGTAAAGAAATCTGAAAGTAAAACCTGGTAGTCTCTTGGTGACGTCTGTGTACAGAGAGCAGGCAAGTCCCATTTCCTTCATGATTTCTATTCAAACTGCACTTAAACAATCACCTCTGGCAGGCACTATAGCCCTGTGATCAGGAAGCCAGCTGTACCTGGATAGTTATCTTGTACTTTTCTGGAATTTAACCACGCAGGCACACTCTTCTTCCTTTACCCTGTAAAATCTCCTTGGTGATTGTTCCTTAAGGTGGACTCTCTAATCGGGACTAAGAATAAAAAAAGCTCTCTCTCGGCCCAGACCAACAGCCCATGCAGCTCAGCCTCCAGTTTTCCAACACCAGCAAAAGAAGATACCACGTAAGGAGAGCACACAAGCTGAGCCACTTTGTAAAAGCCATTCCCGTCACCTTGCACGTTGCACCTCACAAGCTTCATTTTTCTGAAGGCCAGAGGTCGACATACATTACAAACAGTACATTAATCTCCATTCTCTGGTATAGCCTAAGACTTTTGCCTAAGCTGCAACGACCTTAAAGGAGTAGAAGAGTAGAAGAGATGTGCTGATTTCTCATTAACAAGGACTCAGGCTTTAAAAGCAGGTTTGCATATATTGTACAAAGAGAGTGGTAAGCAGTTTAGTGCAGGACCATTCTTATCCAAGTTATGCACCTGAACTCAGAGAAACCCTCAGGCAGAAAAGACTTGGCAATCCCAAGAGCCAGACATTATGGAATCCCAGAAAAAAGCAGTTCAGCACCAAATGCTCCTTTCTCAAAGGACCTTAGGTTACAGAAAAATTCCTTCCCCTGATTCCATCTCTTTCCCTTTTACCATTTCACCTTATTCCCATGGCAAACAAAGAAGCAAACAAATGATAACTCTCTTCCTTCAAAGTCCAATAAAAGGCAAAACAACAATGCTGCCTTACTTCTTGGAAAGAGTTGTTTATTTTGTGTACGCAATCTTGACACTTACCAGTAGAGGAGACTGGCATATCAATCAAACCTGCCTTTAGGCTGCTTTTTTTTGGGCAAAGCAGCCCCAAGGCAGGGCCCAAGAGACAGAGAACAGCACGGTCACAAAAAAGCTGTGGACAGCATATCCCTGAACTATGTGCACAAGGGAGGGCAAACTGTGTACCTGCCAAACTGCACATAACAGCCGTGGACTTGGCAATGCTCCTCCTCCTCTTGAACAGAAGAAATAGCACCTGTAGAATCAACCCCTGTGCAAAGAGGAGATAGTCTCGCCTGTGCCAGCATGAGTCTGGGAGAGGGTCAACATTTTAGCCAAAGCCTCTTTTAAAAAGACCAGAGTAGCTTCTTCAATTAATCAAGAATACTGGGGACATCCTTTTGAAGCTGAAGTCCACTGTGGCTTAACGTAAGATTAGTTGGCCAGATGCTGTAATGCTCATTTTGATAAACTGCAGGGAGTATGAGACTCTGATCTCAGAGTGTCAGGAGGAGACATCATCTGCTTACAGAGAGCATTTAATTACCTATATTAGCCATTATCATCATCCTCAATTTGTATACAGCAGCTGAATGCAGTGGCCTTAATCAGGCCAAAACTCTGTTGCACCCAGCCTTTTAAAAGTGCAGTAAGCTACAGCCTGACAATAGGACGCACAAAATGTGTCAGACCATGTGAGGACAGAAAAAACAGACGGTAATGAAACAGGAGGTCATTTTAGCCAAAGTAGCTGCCAGTCAGAAAAAGCAAACTCCTTTCCTGTCATCCAGTCCATGGCTACAGAAACCAACATTTGGCCATAGACATATACTTAAACATTAACAGATGCTTATCATCACTCATATGCCATCTGCCAGCAGTCACATTAATCTCCAGGAATGCTCCCTGGCCTAAACGCCGGCTCCCCTGTAAAGCTAGTGGTTATTTAATCTCACTCAGGGATCAAAGCTTCATTGCCTGGATTCCTTACACAAGGTCAAGGCAGGTGCCCTAGGGAACATACGGTCTACATAAATTAAGCCATGGTGTCTCTGCATTTCCTGATCCATACCTACAGAAAAATTGCATCATTTGCTCATTACCTAAAAACTGTAGTAAGTAGGAAGACCTCAGGCTGTCTCCTTGCTTACAGCTTTACCTTAGTACCATGAATTGACAGATAAAGGATATGTCATCTTCTGCACAGCTCCTCTAAGACTCAATGTTGTAAACTAGATGATGTTAAAATGATATGACAGCTTTCCACAACATGGTCAGGCATGCCTGTCCAAATGGCGGACTGTAAGGGTGTAAGAAATAGCTGATGTCTTTGGGATGTAGTATTTCTACGCTGATGAAACAAACAGCCAAACAGAACTCACACAGGTAATTTAATAGCTATTGCAGAGACTGGGTATTTTGATACTGCTTCAAATTCTAATAAACTGGGATTTCTCTACACAGTAACACCTATTAGCCAGGTTCTCTCACTTCCTTTCAGTCAGTAAGATTAAATACAGACAAAAGCGTCAAAGGTGACTCTCCAAAACGCAAACTCATGTTACAATTTGCTTAGGGACATGGTTTAGTGGTGGGATGGCAGGGTTAGGTTACCGGTTGGACTTGATCTTGAAGGGCTTTTCCAACCTAAACTGTTCTATGATTCTATGAATTACGCAAAATCTCCTTAGCCAAGGCTTTGTTAAGATGATTCCTGACCGCACCTCCAGCTTCCCTGGGCTGCATTTATTCTTCCAGGCAGGGGGACACACAGGTTCTGCAGAATAAGCCACTGTCCCCTCAGCCCAGACAGAGAAGCTGCTGATACCTGGTTTTAAATCTCTTCTTAAACAGCACAAACCAGTTTATATTACATAGGCAAATATGTCTGGTAGTCATCCTAAACCAGTACCCTGGCTATCCAATGGGTCACGATGCAGGGGTGAGGCTACAGCAGCCCACAGATCCCCTGATTGGAGGGGTGTTCACTTGTCAGCAGGACCTAAATGGCAGGGGGTTTCCCCCACCACATGGGGGAAGAGGAGAAGAGTGAGCAGCTCTCTTTCACTCCCACCCTGCTGCTATTCATCCTTGATAGTCAAAGTCCAGGGATTAAAAAAAAAAAACAACCTCTTCCCTTACCCTCTTCCCCTCTTTTCCCCTAGCCCCCTCTAAATGAGGAAAATACGGTAGTGGAATGGCTGCAAATTTTGCAAAGGACTTGATGGCTTCACATGCATTGGAAGAGATGAAAGTAGAAAGAAAAACAAAATGAGTATTCAATGCTCGTTTTTGCTTCCTGCAAGGTTCATGTCAGGGCAGCACTAGGCAGACATGAGGTAATTCCTTTGTTAGTAAACCGTTTTCAAGTTGACAACACTCCCTGGCTCAGTAACAATGGCCTCAGCTGATGTTAAGGTGCACCTGTATCCCCAGGGGACATGGATGAACTGGGGGGCCTGTTTACCAGCAACCTCATTCAATCCTCCTGCCAAGCTTTGCGAGGCCTGAGAACACAACAGCTCCATTTTAACAGTGCCTCTATGTTCTGGCAGACTCTGCAGCCCTTTCCGATTTCCATTTACCTCATCCTACCCCGGTGGACAGGAGTCCCCTTACTCACAGCTCAAGGATGAGGACCACATCCGTCTTGTTCTCATAGATGTCATACAACTTGATGATGTTGGCATGCAGAATCTGCTGCAAAATAGTAACCTCCCGTTCAATTTCCTCACGTCTCACTCCACGACGGCTGGCCCGACTCTGACGTTTTTTAATGAACTTAGCAGCATATTCCATACCGGTGCTTTTGTCTCGACATTTCTTCACTATAGCAAACTGGCCACTGCAAGGACAAGAAGATAGGAAAAATTCTCTTAAAGCTTTCATATAATCACAGCTTCCCAAATAAGCCATTATGCATTCATTATACAAAGCTTGATCCTGCAACGCCTGAGCAACACTGCTAACCATACAAGCTTGTTCTTGGTACAGTAGTGAGGACTGTCAGAGTTCGGCAGTTAAAGTCACTAGCGCACAAGGTAGCCTCCTGCTGTGTCTGAAATTTAGCAAAACCAAGCAATGTCTGACAAGAAGGGAGGACAGATGTTACAATCTCTAAAAACCAGTTCATATTTAAATGAATAAGATCTGCCTCAAAAGGTTCAAATTACCACTCTCTCCCTCACTGGGTAATGCTTAAGGCATTCAAGCCTGCAGCACTCCACTGGATGTTCTGAAAGGACACACATGCATTAAAGTATTTCCCATATGAATAACCTCTCGAAAATAACTCAAAGGATTGATAACCTGTTAGAAATGTAGAACTGGCTTCCAGTAACCAATTTTCAAATAAGAGAATTGTTTATTCATATTTCTGCCCTTTGCTTGATAATTTAGTTGTAAATGTAACTAGAGTAAGTGCAGCTTTCTCACTGCACTTCAAGGACAAAGAATTGACTACTGTTCCAAACAGTAAAGTGGCTGCATTAAGGTTTAAAAGGCATGTAGCTGCCATTTGCCAGTAAAATTTTCCTCACCGTGGCTCCTGAAGTATGATATTCCAGTCCAACTGTAAAATTTCCCCCTTATCTCCTAAGAGGGAAACACTTGGAGGTCAGATGATTTACTCAAATAATAGTAACCCTGCAGGTTGCCGCCTTACATCACGGGTGGGAACCTTTCAAGATGAGACAGTTGTTACTGACTCTTCAACAGGAAAGCAGGGGACTGTGCTTTGCTTTTCTTTGTGTGAGCTTTTCTTTCTTCATCACACCCTTGAGAGGCACCGTTTGAATTTAAGAGAAGGCACCATCTCCACAGAGGTGATGTTCCCTCCTTCTCAACTGTCTTCTGCAAAAATAACTGTAATCAAGCTGGCAGATGTCTTATCAAAATTAAGAAAGAAAGGTTGTCTGCAGCTAAAGCTGGATTTGAGTGATATGAATTCTACATAAGGCAAGAATGTGGAATGAAACAGTGATTATTCAGAGGATCCTTTTGCTCATCCCATTTGGAAGGGACGAGGACAACTGTGTAGTATCTTCGAAATGCTTAATCATAGTAAAATCATCACAGACATACAAACAAGGAAATTAAATCATAAGCTGTTACCATGTGTTTGCATTTAGTGTACACTGGACATGTTTAAGAGAGCTACTTCTACCTTACAAAAATTGAGGGAAAAGGATGGTCTGTAGCTCAAGTACTGGAGGGGTTTGAGTGATCTGAATTCTGCCATAAATGTATTGCATACCCTTTAGCAATTCACTTTTGCCCCATCAGCAAAACAGGAAAGAGTTTCTTTCTTCCACACAGTATGCCTACAGATATTTGTCCACTATTTAGCACAAAGGTGTCTATCTCAGTTTGCTGCTACTGTAAAAGAAATACTAAGGACAACCAGTGCTGTGCCAGGCAATGTAATATCCTCTGGTCTGAAGTGACTCCAAAAAGCAGATAAAAATCACACATAAACAGAAACACATTTCTTTTCATGAAGGATCATTTGGCAGATTTAATTAAACACCTATAGCTTTTTAGGTTTGATTTAAATTCGTAATACTCAAATTAAGCAAGGAATAGTGGGCATATAGATTTAAAAATATATTAACTCCTTACTTTGATTAATGAAGATACCTAAATACTTATTAGTCTGAAGTTATGCGAAACTTGTATGGCTTCAGGCTTCATCAGAAACTCTAAATTTCAACTAGTCTTTACTAAAATCATGTTAGGATAAAGATTTTCACAGAATTCATGCAAAAGTGCCTTATTTGGACACAAACACTCTAAAATTTTCATGTTTTCCTTAGATCTTAAAAAACAAATTCAAAACCTTGACAAGTTTTAAAAAAAGAAAACCTAAGTTAAAGCACTAAAAGCTTTGATGTGAATTCTTTCAAACAAAACTGATGCAGATTCACTGCTCTCCTAGCTCAAGCACCACCAGCTCAAGTAACAATGAGGAGTAGGAACGTTTGGTCTTGACATAAACCAGTCCAAACATAAATGAGGTCAGTCCATTCCATTCAGTATGAGTTTCATTCACTTACTGCTCTCTCTCATTGCTCAATAGGAAGACCAGTATTTTCACCAATTCAGTGAAATCAGTAACTTTCATACAAAGTATTAAAATAAACTACACTCATTTTTAAACAAATATGTATGTCTGATGAACCTTCTTCTATCTAATGGTACTTCAGAATTTTTTATTACTTTACCTTTCCATAACCAACTAACAGTGCAGATCTGGACATAATGATGCATAAAGTACATACGAGGAGTGGCTGAGGGAACTGGGGTTGTTTAGTCTGGAGAAGAGGAGGCTGAGGGGAGACCTGATCGCCCTCTACAACTACCTGAAAGGAGGCTGTAGCGAGGTGGGGGTCGGCCTCTTCTCCCTGGTAACAGATAATAGGACAAGGGGGAAGGGTTTGAAGCTGCACCAGGGCAGGTTTAGGCTAGACATTAGGAAAAACTTCTTCACCGAAAGGGTTGCCAGGCCCTGGAATGGGCTGCCCAGGGAGGTGGTGGAGTGCCCATCCCTGGAAGTATTTAAAAGAAGGATAGATGAGGTGCTTGGGGACATGGTTTAGTGGTGGGATGGCAGGATTAGGTTAAAGGTTGGACTCGATGATCTCAAAGGTCTTTTCCAACCAAAGTGATTCTATGATTCTAATAAAATGGGATGCTGAATTTGAGCTAGTGGAAACCAAGGAGCTAAGTGGGGAAGTGTTGTAGCGGCAAGAACAACTGTCAAGCAAAATTACTCTAGTAGCAGCATTCAGAGATTGTGTTTGGTAAGTAAGTCTGATGGCAGGCTGCCGCTGACAAGTCTTGGAGCAGTATCTCTATAATAAAAGCTACAAGAGTATGAATGGAAAGAAAAGTTGACTACTTTTGTTTGGAATCTAGTTAAAGGCCCTCGTAGCCCACCTGAGTACATCTGTGATTTCAAGTAGCAAGAACAGTTTATTACCACCCTAAACCTCCTCTGCCAGAAACTCCAGGCTAAGGGTTACTTCTTATTATTTTCCATTGCTCCCACAGGAGGGATTTATCAAACTCCCTTTTGGCAGAGAGAAAGAAAAAGACAAGACCACAGAATCTGCCCTGCAAACAGGCCATGTATGTACTGTTAAAAACACTACCATGGTGGTGAAGCGCACCAGATAGCTGGAGAATTGAACCTATGGATAAGTTCATGTGCTTCAGTCTGCTTTGTTTAAGTGTACAAAGCATCTTGTGATAACAGTGAGATGAAAAGCTAGCAAGCTGTAAAGACAGGATAAGACTTAAGTTAAACAAATTTTGGCTAAAACTACTGAATTAATGAAAGCTGCATTGTGTTTTGGCAACTTGGTATCAAAATGGGTCGCGGGGGGTAAGCAGCATCTGCCGAATCTCAAGTGATTTGGAGGCAAGGAGCCCTAGTTCAAACCTGTGCTCCACCCTTTTCACAATAATTGGAATGAAAAACATGGAAACTAAGTCTACCATATGTATAACCCATATCCTAACCAAGCATTCCTTAGTCAGAAAAGGCTCAGGTTTTATCAATGAACATTTGATAGAATCATACTTTTGCAAAAAACATCGAAACTATTTCGCCGCATTTTCACCATGGAACAGAAATAAATTCAAGAGTTCTAGTAAGCTATATGGCCAGGAAGCCACAGTCAACTAATTAATAAGAAACCTCTGAGAACAGTGCAAATAGTTATCTTTCCCTGACATGTGTAAAGCCTAACAGGTATGCAAGATCCTACCACCAAAAGAACCATCTTACCCAAGCCTTGTCTCCTCAGATTCATGAATCTCTGCTGACGTCCAACCACTTTACAAACAGACGAAACAAGACCAGTGAACTCCCAAGAGCAGCCCTGTTCAAGGCACTACCACAATGCACTGTATGTCCGGGATCTCACTCTCCAAGAACTGGCAGGTCTCTGGTCCCTGAATACACGTTTAGCATCAGATTTTCCTTACTCAGGGCATTATATCTAGACTTGCAAGGAAAATACTCATCTTACAGATAACCTTAACCTTTAGCTACTGTGATTTTATAAGCCAGGATCTTTTTACAAGAATCACAAATAAACTCATTAAGTGCAACCCTCCATGACTACACTGTAGAAGCACTGAGCTGTTATTGTTTTCAATATTATTATATCCTTCACTGGCTTGGTAAATGAGACATGCAAGTACAGTTGGAACTTAAATTATGCAGCATACACAGCACTTATATTCAGAACTTTATAATTATATAATGTACTTAGTGCTTCATTAACACAGACATCTGGTTGGAGTCTGTCTTAAACCTACAAAGGCAAAGAAATTAAAAATTAAGGCTGTCACTTAGTGCTTGATTGCTCTCAAAAACTAACACTTAATGGCAGAGGCAGCCTCTCATTTCTAAGGATTCAAACAATGCCAGACAGCCTAAAGTTTTTGTTTTTCATTTTCATACATATCCTGCCTGAACACTTATCAGGAGTGAGGTAGGAACGGATGGGACAAGCGTACTTATCCCCTTAGGAATAATCAATCACAAATGGAATTGAGAATGCAGCCATTTGTCAAATCCATTAACTCATTCATATTTTGCCTGCTGATTTTACCATTACAGGCAAACCCTAGAGAACTTAAGAGAATTAAATCTCTGCTACAAAATCCCCAAACCTGCCTTGTGCTAAAAAAGTTTGTTCTGTTGTGCTGAGAGCTGTTTGTGTAAAACATTGTGGGTTTCATGGGTTTTTGTTTGTTTATTCATTTTTTGCAAGACATGCATCTTGCTTGGTCCAGACCTTCTAAAGAGACAGGGTTCTAATGTTGCTGTGTTTG